AGAAGAATTCTGGTTATTAATACGATGGCGGCAGGAGGAGTTGAAGTTTCCCGAAGTTATGTTGCCGTTGATCGTGCTCGTGATTTTTACTCACGTCAGGGTGGTAGAGACGGTGATAGGCGTCAAACCAGACGACCCAACGAGCCAGATCGCAGGTGGAAGGATGGTAGACGTGATTCACCAAGGGGACCACGTTTGGCTTCACAAAGAGGAGAAACCCGAGAGGAAGAAGGTGCTCAGAGACACCCTGAGAAGAGGAGGAAGTGTTCTCCTGTCGCATTGGAGAGAGAAGGTAAAGTTGTTCGAGCTCCACTTAGTGAGAAGACCATAATTCCCAACCAGATTGTTGATGTGGCTGCTTCCAGGAAGATTTCTTCTGAGGATCAGGTCCGTGTTCTGTCACCAATTTCAGTGCCGCCTGTAAAAGCTCAATCTTTTGGCCAACATCCTTTTGATGATCTTGAGGAGGGCCAGTTGGAGGATGAGCAGGTGGTTCAGGCACCGAATATTGCTACTTCTAAATGGGCGACTTGTTTGGAATCCCCAAAGGAGGAGGATTTAATAACTGATGTTGTCAGGATTAGCAGATGGACTAGGAGCAGTTTGTCTCCTGAGAGTGGGGAATTGCAAGTTGAGGCGTCTGAAGAACGACAGTCCAATTCATCTGGACGTCGCAGCAGCGTAGAATTCCTTCGTGCTCATGAACATTCAGAGCATGAGTTGGAGGGCCGTATTGATATGGATGTTGGTGAAGCAGAGTGTTCTACTTCTGATTTTAATGACTCAGAAGTTGATGAAGCAGCTTCCTCGGAGGGAGGCTTGAGCATGCTATCTGGTAGCAGAGATGTAAACGAATATCAGAAGCTAAGTAAGATTAATGAAGGCACTTATGGGGTTGTCTACAAAGCCAAGGACAGGAAAACCGAGGAGATTGTGGCACTCAAAATGATCAAGATGAACATGGAAGATGAATATGGATTCCCGTTGACATCTTTGAGAGAAATTAACATCCTTTTGTCTTGCAATCACCCTTCGATTGTGAACGTCAAGGAAGTTGTGGTGGGAAACGGTGGTAGTGTTTTTATGGTCATGGAACACTTAGAACATGACTTAAGGGCCGTAATGGATAGGATGAAACAGCCTTTTAGCACCAGTGAGGTAAAATGCCTGATGATACAGCTGTTGGAGGGTGTGAAATACCTTCATAGCAACTGGATTATCCACAGGGATTTAAAGCCATCGAATCTTCTATTGAACAACAGTGGGGAGTTGAAGATATGTGATTTTGGAATGGCTCGCCAATATGGGAGTCCTATCAAGCCCTACACCCAGTTAGTTGTTACACAGTGGTACAGGTGAGCAATCTTTCTGATAGCGAGTTTATTTTTTATTTTTTTGCTTGTAAGGCTTGCAAGCTAATAAAATCGTGTTGCTTGTGTTGCAGGTCCCCAGAACTTCTTCTAGGAATAAAGGAGTATTCTACCGCAGTTGATATGTGGTCAATTGGGTGCATTATGGCTGAATTGTTGTCTTTAAAACCTCTTTTCAGAGGGAAAAGTCAGAATGACATTGATCAGCTTCAACAGGTAGCTTTTGTTTTTCTAGTTTCTTTATATTGGTTTCTCTGATTAGTGTTTAATCCATTAGTAACTAAGGCTTGAATTATCTGCACAGATCTTTGCGGTTCTCGGAACACCAAGTGAGACAATCTGGCCTGGATTTACGTCGCTGCCGGGTGCAAAAGCCAAGTTTCGTAAGCAACCGTGAGTAATCTTTCATGTCGTCTTAACTTGTTTTTATGATGTTGTATGTTGCTCATAACAGATTTGTCTGATTAATCTTTATTGCAGGTACAATTTACTGCGTAAGAAATTTCCTGCTGCATCTTTTACAGGAGCTCCAGTTCTTTCAGATTTGGGATTTGATTTGTTGAACAGATTACTGAATTTTGACCCTGAGAAGCGCCTTACAGTTGACGAGGCTCTTAGCCATGGCTGGTTCAATGAAGTACCTCTCCAGAAATCCAAAGAGTTCATGCCGACATTTCTTCCAAAGCGTTACTGAGAGATCTAAACTAATATTTATGGGTTCAGGGAAGTCACTGGTGGTGTCCTGTATCTTTCCATCCTTATTTTGTGACTTTACTTTGTGATTCTTGACTCATGGGATTTGAACGAAGAGAAGATTGGAACTAGCTGTGCAGGAAGCATTGATGAAGTTGCATTCGGATTGCTGTGTAAATATGAGTGGTCAATGAAAGTGCAAGGTGTGTGGGTCTTTCTCCCTCTTACTCGTCTCGGTCTCTCGTTTAGTTATCCGTGTTTCAGACTGTATACTAGTGAAATTGATTCTAGTGGAGAGATACGTTGAGCTTTCTTTAATCAATATAGTCTTTCCTGTCCTCATATTTCTTTGTGTTATCTTCTTCACGAGGTAAATACAAAAGGGTTTACCCGAAAAGTGGGAAGGGGACTTGCCATCTGTAAGTTATATTACTTTTGACATCCACAACATTACGTTAATAGTCTTTTCTGTGTTATACCTTATCTTTTCCTCATTTATTGAAAGGCTACATCTCTTCGGTTCCATTGTGTTTTCCGAAAGATCCCTTTATTTGACCATTGAGCATGGTCCCTCCCGGTGAGTAACCGATGCAGAAAGAGACAGCTCCGTGAATTTCTGATCCTTTTTTTTTAGCCCACTACCATTTCACTGTCTATTTGGCAGAGAGAGGGACTCGGAGACTACTTAAGGACATGGAAGCTTGTATAAGTAGTAGATGAATTTTGAGAGGAGAAAAATATATTTTTTTTGATTTATTGATACTTTTCTTTATAAATTTCGTAGGGTAGATTCGTCCAAATATGTTTTCTCTCTACTATTTAGTTAAATCGAATTATCAACATGCTAGTTTCCTAATTATAGCTTTCAAAAATAATATTGAGTTAATTAACCCTAAAATATATTTATTCGTATTCAGATGCAAAACATTATTGTAAAATGGAACACTAATGTGTCCCATGCACTTAGATTTACATATACTAATGTACATCTCCTACCAAAAGCAAGTCATTTATGATAATACCAAGAGGTTCCTATTATAACTCCTCCTTTGTCTGGTCTTCTCATGTAGCCACAACACTCTACTCTTTGCTTTCCAGTATTCCTCTTCCAACCTTTAATTGTGATTTAAGAAAACTAATATGGAGTAATTTAGAGTACGTGATTCACATGCTTGTTTAACTATGTTAAGTGATTTTTTGAGGAAAATTATTTGCAGCAATCCCTTAATCAT